ACCTCTCCCAGGGCTCTGTAGTCCTTCTTTATGTTCACCAGGCTACTACTGTCTATATCCCTAGCACCCACATCTATCACCAGAAGTGGGTAATAGTCCGTGGGGCTTACTAGAGCAGGCAGCCTCTCTGCCACATCCCTGATCCATGCCCCTGGTAGGCAACACACCTCCCTTGAGAGCAGGGCAGGCCGACAGACGAGTGCTTCTGTCCCTTTCAAAGTAGAATCCCCTACTACTACGACCTGCCGCTTTTTCCTGGTTATCACCACTAGTACTTCTCTGCCTAGAAACCTCTCGGTATTACTTGCTCAGTGGTGCTATAAAAATCATGCTTGCAGGATTTAGGTCTCCTGTTCACCTTCATGCAAAGCAACTAGAATTTTTATATGCTGATATTTATAGCACCACTCACTTTGTGTAGTAGAGCCCAGCTGTTACGGTCAAAGTGAGGTCCTACTGCCAGACACACAAACATGGATTAAAGGCACAGTAGTGGTGATCCAGTGTGAGCTTGTCTTAATAACTGTCAACACTTCTTTTTTTCTTTTCTCATGGCAGTACATCAGTTTTCTTGCAATTAATTTGTCCACGTGCATTAATTTATTCATTTGTGGTCTTTGAAGTGTGCTGGGTTTTCTCTGATGCGTTCCTTGCTTTGTCTATCCTGCCTTGGAAAGGACACCTGATTTTTCTGAGCTATAAAGAGGATTAAGGGGCCTAATCAAAGTGAAAGTCAGTGCATAACGCTCAGAGAAAGGACACTGTGGGTCAAAGAAAACAAAAGAGTGATCCCTGTGACTTAAACCCACGTCATTACAGCATTTCTGCATTTAATCCCAGTGGAAACCAGCAAGGATTTGGCTCTTAAACAGGTGCTGGGATCTTAAGTGCCTTTGAGAATATCAGTCCCACTGCTGCGAATTGCTGAGTGCCTCCTGATTCACTCGGAACTGATTGCTGGTGCTGTCAAACTGTACTGACCTTCACAAAATGAGGGAAAACGCTGAAAAATGTGTAATTCTGCAGCTCCTGGGCATGTTAGTTTAAGGAAGATCCTGTAAGGTGCTGCGTAGGGACCAAGCCGCAATCCCGAATCCAAAACAAGAGGTGGCTGGTGTTTATGGATGAAGACAGTGAATGGGAATAGAGCAAGTGTTGGAAGGGCTCTGGGTTTTTATAGTGCTGCTCTGGACAAAACTTGTGCTGTTTTAGTTGGAAAGAAGATCAGATTTCTGTGTGGAGGCTGATGTTGTTTAGGTTCCTGAATTAAGCCTGGGCAGAAATTACGTGCATCTTTGAATGTGGTATGATCTAATTGTCCTGTAAATAAACAGCTGGAAATACTTAGTACCACTTAAAAATTCACTGTGTTTAAGGTTATTGTAACTCCAGGTACACTGATAGTCCAGGTTGCCTGTAGGCTGGGAACAGTGTGAATAAACCAAATAAAGATGGGTTGTGCTTCGTGCTGACCTCAGGGCTCATTTGATATTAAGGACCTACACAGTTTAAGGTCAGTGTGCAGGGAAATCAAGGAAACGCCACATCCCAGAGTCATGCTAATAGTGGGAATTAGAAATTAGGAAGGCTTTGTTTCTCAAGGACTTGAGAGTTGCTGATGGGGAGGACGTAGGTTTTGCTAGTGACATATTTCAGCTAGTTGAGAGCAAAATGTCAGTGTTGCCAGTACGGTAGCACTGAAGGGATTCTGGCCTTTGACATGCTAGTGACATTAGTGGCTTTACTGGCCAGTGTTTATCTATTTTCTGGAAAGAGACTTAACTTGTTTCCTTTTTTCCCGTTCTTCTTAATATTGTCTTTTAGCATTGTTTTTTATTTTGTGGTGGCTAAAGTAACAGTACTACAGATGTTTACCAGCTGTGCTCAGCTTTGTATTCTATTGCACTGCAAGTACAGTTTGTGTTTAGAAGCAGGTTTTTTTGTCACCCTGAACTTCTCAGGGTGACAAATTAGGGGGTAGTTAAGGAAAAGGGGAGGATAGCTGTGACACTTTTGCATGGTTTGCTTCCATGCAGCTTTGGAAGATGCGTTTTTGTTCCCATATAATGTTTCAGTATTTAATGTTTCCGTATGCAGAAGCGAAACTAAGTAAATAATTTGCAAGATAGGATAAAAAATACAGCATTCAGTGTGTTCTTGTGTTTTTTTTCCTCATGCCAGTGCTGCTTGCATTGTTGTGTTCTCAGTGGAAATTCTGGATTATTCAATTCAGTTTCCAGAAAAAGAGTATCAGGTGACTAAAGTGACTGTTACACCCAGAAAAGACCAGCAGCAAGGATAAAAAGTTCAGGAGCAAGCCTCATCTGAAATTTATTTACAGAGAATGCTGGAAGAATACTTGAGAATAACAATGACATGAGGAAAGAAACCAGTGGTTTGCAGATGACTTGCAGAGAATAGGAAAAGGATAAACTGAGTCCAGTATTTAATGTCAAATCTATTGTATGGAATAATTATTCAATTTTGTATATATATATATATATATATATGTATTTTACATATACATTATATATATAAATTATTTTATCAGAAATACAAAGCATTGATCTACTTTAGGATTAAATATTTTTTAGCAAAGTATTTGCAATTGTTTTTTTGCAAAACACTTTGTTCTATTTTTTTCTTGCTAACTGTTCAAATATTGTATTACTTTTGAGCATAGTATAGAATTAGTACAGAAAAGCAGGTGCAGTGCTTAAATCACTTGGTTCAAGCTTGAATCAAAAACAATGGATATTAAATGTTATTTAAATAAGCAAAGAGAAAAATTATGTAAAAATATTAAATTTTTTTTTTTTTTTCCTAAGGAGTAGTTATATTGGTTATAATCCATTCAAGTGTGCTGAATTACACCAAGCGTAGATGCTAATTTAGGGATTTTTTGTTAATGGGCATACTTTCTACAAATACCTGTGTAAGGCTATTCAAACATAAACAGAGGTGCAAGTATATATATTTTCTAGTCTGAATTTGTCTTTTGTGAGAAAATACCGAATTCTTTCGGTGATTTTTTTTCTCTGATTTCAGGAAAAATTTGGGGTGTAATTGCAAGCATAAAACAAACTTTAGGGAGCTTTTATAAATCTTTTTTTTTAACTTGGCAGTAAGCATCTGCTTCCAGTGTGGGGAAATGTGAGAGAATGTGCTGTTGGTTTTTAATCTGTCTGCTGTAGTAAACAAAGGAAGTGTGGTCTGGGAGCAGAACTGCTGTGTCTTGTTCTCATCTCTTTGAAAACACTGCAGCTACCAGACCCCTTCCCTTTCAGATGCTGCTTTTGCGCGCAGATGGATGCACAGCCTTGGCACAGCAAAAGGCTTTCCTGCTTTTTCAGCTCCCCACTTCGCAAATATTTGTTTAGTCATTTTCTGCACTGACCCAGTTGGATGAACTGAAATGAGGAAAGTTTAGAGTTTGGAAGTGGCAAATTTAGAGCAGGGTCAGTTGTTGCGCAAAATGGAGTCAGCATTTTGAGACAGGTTGTCTGTAAAACCGCACTGGGATTAGTTAACGCCTTACAAAGTTACACCCAGGAGCTAACTGTCCGTGAAGTGCCTACCAGTCTCTGCTGGCAGGTAGCTCACAGCAGGCTGTTTTGTGTACTGAGTGAAAAGCCAGTTTTATTGACTGTTATTGTTAAATCATTTTAATTAGTCTTTAAATAACAATAAAGTCTTCACCTTGAAACAGTGAAGAATGGAAATGGTGTGGTATTTGAACAGTTTAACTCTTCTGAAATTTAATCTGTTAACAGATGAGGCTTTTTGGTAGTAGAAAACTGATACATGGATTGACTCCACAACTCATTAGAGTTGTAAAGTAGGTATGCTTTATTCAGCACTGAGGCGCATGGGGATTGCTCCTCCAAAAGCATGCGCGCCCCCCCCTTTGCCATTCAGTTCATTTATATTCCATATAATGATTACCTAAACATGAGATTGCTTCACACCTAATACATATGCAAAACCTATTCCCATCTAGTATTACAATTAGTTTTCTGGCATTTGTCCCATTGGTGCGCCTGTGCAGTGCCTCCTGGTGGTGGTCGTTAGGGGGTTGTGAGGATGAAGGCCTGTAGTTCATCACCGCAAGTAACCTCTTGCCTTCACACAGACTCAGTGGGGTTTCGGCTCCTGTCCATACCTCAGGTTTGGTACAAGCCAGTTTTATGTATCTTAAACCAGAAACTTGTCAAGTTTGTAAATTTTGTTACTCTGGCTATCTTTTGTTCCTTTTCTGTCTAAAGATACTATTTGAACAAGAATGTCTTAAATATTGAGCTATGAATCTTACCTACTACAACTCTGCCTAGCAGCTGTAACTCCTACAATTCTGCTTCACCACTCTAGCAACTCCTATGGTTCTGCTTCACCAAGCACAGCGACTGCTTAAGCAAGCAGGCACAATGTTAACCCTTTATTTCCTGGTATCAAAACTACAGCTGGAAACCAATAAATTAGTTACAGCCCTAAGTAAAAATAAAGAAGTCAGGTTTGATTGTGATCTCAATAGAAGCATTGGGGCAATTCAGTAACTCTGGGATCTGGCTCGATTACTGAAGCAAATAGAGCAATGCGGACGAACCTCTGTGGACTAAATGTTACTGTAGTTGCAGGGACCAGGCTGGGTCTGACGCATATGTTCTTGATCAACCTTATGTTCCTATGATAACATTAAAGAAGCAGCTGTTATTTCATTTGTAAACCTTGGTCTGTCTGCAGTAGGATCTTCTCCAGTTTCACAGAGGAAAATGCAGTCTGGCAAAGGGCATGAGGTCCCAGAGATGTGCAAAAGCTGTGGTCAGAAGGGATACACGCATAGGATGAGGAGAAGCAAACACATCTAATCCATGCCTGCTGTGGCTCCTGCTATGACAAAAGAATGGATAGTCAGAAATGGCAGATTATAAGTAGAAATGTTACTAGAAGTAGAAATGCTACTAGAAGAACCACGAGTTATTTCTCACCTCTCTTGTTTTCAGGGTATGGCCTTCACATTACACGAACGACAAATGCTTGGGCTGCAAGGACTTCTACCTCCTAAAATAGAGACACAAGACATTCAAGCCTTACGCTTCCATAAGAATTTGGCAAAAATGACTGATCCCTTGGAAAAGTAAGCACTCTCTGGCCTTGTTTTGTCATGCAAGTAAATGGAAATTGCTGTAAAATATTGCATGGGGATAACTAAACAAGGTTTCAGTGCCTCTTCTGGGTCTTTTGGTTGTTGGGGGTTATTTTCACTTTTGCACAGAAAACTGCTTTCATTGATCATGCATTCATCATGCAGCTAGATGAGGCTGAGAACTTTCTTTTGTTCCATAATCATAAGATAACGAAGAATAATGTGCACAATTTAGCCAGTAACAAAGCTGCAGACCTTGCTGTAATATGTACTGTGTGTTTCTGTAACATCTAAGGTTTGGATGGCAGGTTGTCAGCGCACAGAACTGTTGGGGGAGAGGAGGGGACAGCTAACACATGCTAGAAAAATATGTGAGAAAGAAGGTAAAATGAGGGTTCGATAATTAGGAATGAAAACCAGTGTTTTATCTAGTTACTGCTAAAAGGAATTACAGGGTCAGAATTTTGAAACTCAAAATGTGTAATTTTTTTATATCATTTTTCTATTTAGCACACTAGTTTGGTGAAGAAATGTGGGGTTTTTTTTAATAACACAGTTTTAGCATCCTGTTACCGTTTTCATATATGCTTGTGTATACCTGCATGTGAAAATATGCAGTCTCCTAACAGTGTGAGGAGAACCGGCATGGTTCGAGGCTTACTGGACCACAACAAAACTCTTAATTTCTCACGAAAACCAAAGATGATTTTCAGATACACTCATGTCACTTGCTGTTCTGAAACATATTATGTCATCTGTATTGGCAAAGTGGCTGTAGCCCAAGATGAGTCACTAATTCATTATCTTTATGTAGTTGGGTCAGCAAGACTGAATGTGAATCAGTATGTGGTAGGTTGGTAGGTGAATTTGCAAAAATGCAGGTTTAGTTGGCACACCTGGGTAAGTCCTTCAGAATGAACTTTTGTTAGGAGTTAATCTGTTTTACAACTCTGTTAATATCAAGATTAACAAGACCTTACTGTCAGGACCTTATTTTTTTTGGATGAAAAACTCTTTCACTGGTATTTTGTTAACAGTAATGAGATTCCCAGCTGCATCCTGTAATGAATCCATGGGTTGTCTTTTATTCACAATGCATGTTTACATGTATGGTATGTCATATCCAGTGTTCTTATTTCAGCTTTTCAGTTCTGCTGCTCTCTCTTTTCCAGCTTGTGTTTAGTACTCAAAGTCTTGAGTGGAAGCAGTAATTTTATGCAGAAGGAATACAGGGCAAACCTGTTTTTTGCTTTGACATTTTCCACGTTGTTTTAAATAAGCGTAAGTGTGAAACAGTAAGTGACTTTTTTTTTTCCTCGTTTGCTTAATTTCAGGTATATCTATATAATGGGAATCCAAGAGAGAAATGAAAAATTATTCTATAGGGTATTACAAGATGATATCGAGCGGTTAATGCCAATTGTATACACTCCAACAGTGGGCCTTGCCTGCTCCCAGTACGGCCACATCTTCAGGAGACCAAAGTAAGAACAATATATATGTACTGCTGCTACTTTTAATGCCAGTTTTTCTCAGTAGTTGCCTGAAGTATGGAAATATTTTATTTCATTTTCATTGGAATTCAGGTATGCAGGACTTGTGCCAATTCAGGCAGTAAATGTTCACTAAACAGTGTCTCAAGACCTGGGTTATATCAGAAAAAGAACATTTGAAAATGGAAGTGGTAATCTGTCACATAAATACGACAAGTGCAGGGCTTCAGCTCCCTTCCAGCTTTTTCTAGATGCCTGCCATGGATGCAGTCATGCACTTGACTCGTTAAGAAAGAAACAACAATATACTTTATTGATATGACAAAGTTCAATGGTAAATGCAAACAGTGGTTTAACAAGATTCAATGCAAGGTACACTTGATTATTTACTGTATAGAGGACAGGGTCAGAGAGAACTGTCAGGGAGATCCTCCTGTTGAGTCGTAAGATTCAGAAAGGACCCCCTTACTTTCTAAACTCAGAGAGGAGTCTAGGTACAGCTGGATCCATCCTACACTTGGTCATCAGTTTATGTCTACAGGATTATATATGTGCAATCAGTCCTTTATATCCCTTACTTAAGACTTCAAAGTTTAGCATGCTGTTAATCACTTACTGAGGATCTGTTGTGGCAAGGAATCTCTCAACCTCAAGGAGTAACATTGAGAGGTACTCCGTTCAAGGGAAGATCCTGGAGTGCAGCCTGCTGCTGTGCAGGAGAGCTCCACAGGCCCCAGGCTGCCTACTGCTTATAGAGTGAGATGACTGACTGGTAGTCATAGCTGTGTACCAGCAAGAGGTCTGGATCAGTGTTCCTCACGGTACTTGACCACCAAAGACCAGAGTAAGCTGGATGCAGCAGCCACCACAACCCGCACTGATGGCTGTGGCTTAAGCAGGAGGGAGCATGCTGCCACAGTGTGGGCTGTATTTGTCTGCCGTGACTGTATGACGTGTATGCACTGGAGAAGGGTCTTTGCAACAGTTGGTGATATCTGGTGGCACTACTACAGAAGCAACTGTGACAGTACCAAGCTTTTGGCTTTTCAAAAATGGTAGCCTGGCAATTAATTGGATTAAATGGGGGACCACATGACAATGCCATACAGCTCCTTAATTCCAAGGAGAGTGCTGTTGCTTTCTCCAGCTCTCAGAATCACATCTGAGTCTGGGGATCTGTACCAGAACAGAGCATTTGAAGGGAAATGCAGACTTAAAGGGATTTCTGGAGGTCATCCACTCTCACCCTCTCTTCAGAAGGGGTAACTTCAAGTAGATTCATTGGAGATACTCCCCTGTGCAACCCTGCACAGGGGCAGAAACACAAGGGCGCGCACACCCATACAGCAGTTTTGCTGAAGGAATCTCAGGCTAATTGCAGCTCAAAGCTGTCACTAAAATCTTCAGAGGGCTGGACAGGCCAAGGGGAATGGCTTGAACCTGACAGAACAGGGGAGACTGAGATGAGCTCTTAGGCAGAAGCTCTTCCCTGTGAGAGTGCTGAGGCGCTGGCACAGGGTGTCCAGAGAAGCTGTGGCTGCCCCATCCCTGGCAGTGCTCAAGGCCAGGTTGGACACAGGGGCTTGGAGCAAGCTGCTCTAGTGGAAGGGGTCCCTGCCTGTGGCAGGGGTTGGAACTGGATGAGTTTTAAAGTCTCTTCAACCCAAACCAGGCTGGGATTCTACGTTTCTGCTGGTGGCAAAGGGTCTCAGTGCTGGAGACATCTCATGATGCTCTTTCAGAGCAGCACAGCAGACTTTTTGGGTGCAGGAGCAGTTGGAAGGATGTTGGCAAAGCAGAAAGGAAGAGGCTTGGCTCGTGGTAGCTCAATAGACTGTTGAATGCAGATAGTCCCCGTATTAAAGCTGTGCTAGTAGGAGTCAGTTTTCAGTTAATCTGGCACAGTAAATACACTTGGCTGGCATGAGGTTGGGTTCAGCAGTGACTTCAAAACAACTGTTCAGGTTATTTAGCTCTGTATTAAGGCAATCAGTTCAGACTGGCAGTCGTATCAGCTCATTTCCATGGCACTCTCACTGCAATTCCAGGTACATTTCTGGAGTCCTCTAGAAAGCTTGCAGGCTTTAGTGCTGTGTGGAGGAAGGGCTAATCCTTCACTGCCATAAGGACTTGGGTATGTAGTGCAGCTGCTGTGGTAAAGACAGTAAGAAACTCATGGGTTTGCTCCTGATCTGGGACAGGGGATGTGAAAGATGCACCTTTAGTTCTTATTTTCTTCCTTTCCTCTTCCACATCTCTCGATGTGTTACAGACCAGTTTGAAACTTGTGCTAATCAAAAAGTTGTCTGTATAAGAAGAGGCAGCATGATCTGGAATTCAGGATGTCCTCCCCTTCTTTCTAAGAACTGGCACTTTCCAAGTGTTGGTGATTTATCTGTTACCACCTCTGCTGAGCCTTTCATGCCCCTTTTCTTCCTAAAAACAGAGGGCTTGCTCGAGCAAAAGAAATACAGACACTTCACCTCTCCTCCTTTCTGCTGCTTTTTCTCGGCTCCCATGTTCCCCCCGATGAACAGTCAGCAGGGGGAAGCACTGTTCTTCTGGTCTTGCAGAAGACTATGGTCAGTCCCTGTCTTTATTATCCCTTTCTTTTCCCTCCCCTGACCTTTTGTAATGCCATGGATGGAGATTCACTAAGGTAAAGCCAGGCTTAGGACCATGTTCCCTTCTCATATCCTAAGAGGGGAGTGTAGATCCTGGCCTGTCTGATGCTAACACCAGAGGTATTTTGCCCTCAAGGAGTATTAAAGGTTAATTAAAGGTTATTATCTGTAGTAGTGTAAAATCCAGGTAGCATCAGGAAAACTGTTTCCTCTGTGCTCCTATTTTAAAGTGTCAAAGTACAGACTTCTGTGTTAGAAATTGTCCTTTGAGTGATACATGTCTGACTACGCTTTTGATTTTGAGCAATCTCTTCTGTTTGACATTGAGCTTTATAAAGCAAGGTGAAATTTCTAACTGTTACGATAAATTATTCTGGGTTTGTTTTGTTTTTTATTTCAGAGGATTATTTATTTCTATCTCAGACAGAGGCCATATAAGGTCAATTGTGAACAACTGGCCAGAGAATGACGTTAAGGTACTGACACTGTTTGATATTTTTCCTGGTTTTTATTTAATCTCAGTTGAGCTTCTTAAGATTTGTCACCTTTTGATGGAATTGTAAACACTGAACAATACATCCTTGGCTGTTGGCAATGATGGCAAAATGCAGCTAATGAAGATGAAGTGTACCTTGAAGAACAGTGTTTTATCCTAAATATGAGGTTTGTGGTTTGAGTAAATGGTGATGATGAGAACTAGACTTGCCAAACATTTTATTTCACTTCTTTATTCCACCTTTTGGGGAGGTGTTGGGGGATGCACCTCTAGGTCTTCCTTACTGTGTTACATAGCAGTAGAAGAAATGCGCTTGTCCTCAGATTAGGACAGAGAAGTGGTAGTTTAGAGGCCCACATTTTGCCATTAAGTTCTCTATGGCCCAGTTGAGTCAAGAACCATGAGGAGATGAAGTGAACAATAGTTACAGAAATTTTTTGATGTCTGGATTATTTACAAATGGAAATAATAAAGCCAAGTTACAAGCTGCAGTTTCATACAGCAGCTTGGATTCTTCCCACTCAGTGGGTTTTGGCAAAGAAAAAGCATAGCAGATTCTAACATTAAGCTTTATTGCTTCAAGTAAAATACTCCTTGTAATCTATTTCTTGATTGCGCAAACATATGTGAATTTTTGCTGGTATTGCTCTAAACTTTATGAATTTCAGTGATTGTATATAATTTCACCTCCTTTTGTTTTCAGGCTGTTGTTGTAACTGATGGAGAAAGAATATTAGGTCTCGGAGATCTAGGTGTGTATGGGATGGGAATTCCAGTAGGAAAACTGTGTTTGTATACAGCCTGTGCAGGAATACATCCAGATAAATGCTTGCCTGTGTGCATCGACGTTGGAACTGATAATACAGTGAGTTTCACTGCACTTGGCCTGCCCGAAGTTATCCCTATGAAAAGTATTGAAGAGTACTTAGTCCTGTAAGAGGAGATATTTATTTGAACATTTTTGTTAAAGATAAAACCAAATATTTTATGTAAGGTTAAATAATCTGGAGTTCATTATACCGTAAATATAAGTGACTGAAAAATACCAATTAATTTGTCGGTGAAATGTTGCATTTGGAAGTAATCTGAATGCTGCAGCCCTGTAAAACAGATGATCGGGTTGACCTGACTTTAAGAAGCTGGAAATGTGAATCAGATTTATTAAAGCAGTTTATTGTTCACAGTATTGATTTGTTCCATTTTAAAAGCAGCCATCACCAATCTCAAGTGCCAGCTGAAATTACTGAACATTGATACAGACTGGAGGCAGTTACAGTGGCTATATAAATGCAATATCTTTGGGGTGAAATGTGTTACTGTGAACTCTCAAAAGTGGATATTGAGGAAGTGATTCATCCTGCTACTGTCTGATTTATTCTTTTTCAGACACTCTTAAAAGATCCATTTTATATGGGACTATACCAAAAAAGGGATCGCTCTCAGGTCTATGACGACCTAATTGATGAATTTATGGAAGCCATTACAGACAGGTATGACACTGAATATTCTTGCATGTAATATGGCCAAAAGTGCTGGCAGAAAAAAACCCTAAGACACAGTCCTTGAAACAGTCATTTAGGGAATAAGAATAGGACTAGAAGTCAAGAGGCATGGCTGTATGTCTGCCCCTGTAGTGATTTATCTCTGTGACCTGGAACATGTTGCTTGTAGTTACCTCTTAAGTACACATAGAACAGAGGTGGAACTGTTTCAAACAGTGAAAGTCCCGAGGACAGTCTCTTTCCAAAGATAATAGATTACGTGCAGGAATTGTTTTAAAAGGATTGTATTTCTTGATGTGTCTGGTGATAGGAATATTTGCCATGTTCTGTAGGTATGGCCAGAACACACTTATCCAGTTTGAAGACTTTGGAAACCACAATGCTTTTCGTTTTTTAAGGAAGTACAGAGAGAAATATTGTACCTTCAATGACGATATTCAAGGTACACCCTTTATGTTCCTTAATGTATATATGGAAATTTTGCCTAAAGCTGTAATCTGCCACAGAAGTTTGGCTCACCTTAGATTTGTGCTGCTTTCACAGGGACAGCTTCAGTGGCTTTGGCAGGACTGCTGGCAGCACAGAAAGCCACGGGTAAACCACTTGCAGAGCAGAAAGTGCTGTTCCTTGGGGCAGGAGAGGTGAGTTCTCTTAAGGGCTCTAGAGCAACAAGAGATTTAACTGTCTATTTTCTGGTTCTGTAGGACTCATGGAGATTCACATTCTCTGAATTCCGTTGCAGGACATTTTATATGAGGTCAGCTGAAACACATTAACAGAAGGGACTACCTGCTGAAAGTTGACTATTTGAAAGGTGTTTAACATTTACAAGACTCAGGTGTTTCACTTTCTTACATGGACTTGAAAAAAGCATCAGTGACTTGTGTGTAGTTGAAGGGGAATGTACCATAAAATTATAATCAGTAAGAGAGAGGGAAAGAGCATCTTGTTGATTTTCTGTAGCATTGGAGAGATGTACATGGTGGTTTTCTTAGCAAGTTAAATCAGTGGCTGTTTGCAGCAAGTTTACTGGGGCAGCTGTGTCAGGACCAGCACCATGCTTCTCGGTATTTCAGTGAAATTGCTTCTGTGGTGCTGTAAAAATAACTTAATTAGCTGAAATCTTCTCCAACCAACCAGGGAAGGTCGTGATTGCAGTAACTGGCCAATGTTGTGTTGTTGCCCTGCTCTGCGCTTTCCTCTACCTTATTTCTCCTGCCAGGTTTAGCAGCATGTGCAGTGAGCCAAGAGAAGGGATGCGGAGGTAAGCACTGCCAGCACCTACTTTGTGCCCTCTGTCAGCAAGCCCTTTGTCACAGGCAGCAGGAGCAAAGACAGGATTGGAAAGCAGCTGGGCGCAAAACATTGTGCTATGGTTTCTTGACAGGAGGGCTTGCAGCACTAAATTATTGTTACTGTCTGGTTGGGCTGCTTTACAGTGGCTGCTGAACTGGTACAGACATGGGGGCACAACACCCAGAAATGCTGCCTCTCTCTTGCACTTGAAAACATGACACTGTTGATGCCAGTAGTCTGCCCCCATCTAGGGAAACATTGCTTGTGTTTCAGAACTGGCTTATTAAATGAGTTTTGTGGAGATCTTGCACTGGGTGGTGGTTGTGATCTGTGATGAGAAACCTTTTTTGTGAATTTTTAAAAATCCAAGTCCTTTTATCCTTAAGGCTGCACTGGGAATTGCAAACCTCATTGTTATGGCTATGATGGAAAGTGGTGTTTCTGCTGAGGAAGCCTATAGGAGAATATGGATGTTTGACAAATATGGTTTACTGGTTCAGGTAAGGGTGCACCAAGCCTTGAAATACCACAGTACAGATGGCCAGATGCTTTCTGTGTCTTCTGCACAAAAATAATCAACCTTTTATCTACAGGGCCGAGAACAAAAGGTTGATGCTAATCAAGAACCATTTACGCATCAGGTTCCAGAGCAGATACCAAAGACATTTGTGGAGGCAGTGAATGTACTTCGGCCTTCAGCTATCATTGGTAAGTAAGGCTATTTTT